CTCTCTCTCTCTCTCTCTCTCTCTCTCTCTCTCTCTCTCTCTCTCTCTCTCTCTCTCTCTCTCTCTCTCTCTCTCTCTCTCTCTCTATCTCTCTCTATCTCTCTCTCTATCTCTTTCTCTATCTCTTTCTCTCTTTGTCTCTCTATCTCTCTTTCTCTCTCTCTCTCTCTCTCTCTCTCTCTTTCGCTCCTCGACCCGTTGGCCTTTGGTCACGCGGTTATGACCATGTTATCACCCCAAAAATCAACTGTTCAATGCGTATGCCGATGATTTTTATATTTGGGTTGAATCACGCGACTGGATGTACCCTCCCCTGACCTCAGCTGTGAAGATGAACTCACTGATCACTCTGTCCAGCATTGGCAGTGTATGTCCCTTTACTATATACCCTCTCTATAACTTTACACGTGTATGTAATCAACGCCCTTACCCCTCGGTGAGTAGTTGTTGCTGCAACCGAGTGCGACGATTGACGCTTGAAGCAGACATCTTTTAATTTCGTAAGAACGAGAATACATTATGCTAACAGAACGGGTAACCACAGTGATCTGGAACGAATCTAATAACAGGGTAGAAACTTGATTACGAGGTGCTGCGGTTAATGTTGGTAGCTACAGCTACGCCGTGGGTGTAACCCAACGTAACCGCGTCGACTACTGGTTTCTAGACGGTTTAACTGTGTATATTTGGGTCCGTTTTCAATTCATTTCCTGGTCGCTACAGCTGTAGCTAGCGAAGCATTATAGGTAGCATTTGCTGTTGAGACATGCGTTTCATAAACACAATGTTTTGATAGCATATACGCATTTTCGCCAACAGTTTGTTGATATGTGATTGAGAAGTTTTGAACATCAAGCATTAATAACATATATAAAGTCATAGCCGTTAAAATATTATAATCAATATACTTATAGCATATAGAATGGTAATCTGGCATACAGAAAGGCGAGCTAGCATATAGATAGACATACTGACATATAAAATGACAAGATGGTATTAGGAGCTAATAATGACAAATTTGTCTAATATTGACAATAAGGTCTATTATTTGACAATTATTACATTATTAATTGACATTATTAACTGATAATTAATTGACAGTTATTGACATTAATTATACATAATTAATTGACATTATTAATTGACAATAAGGTCTAATATTGACAAATTTGTCATTATTAGCTCCTGATGGTATATATACAGGAAGACAGGTTTAGCTCATCGTAACTCCATGCACGCGCGCGCGGCCCCCGCGTACATGCATAGAGCGCCGTTGTTACGTCGCTTCCGCTACTATTTTCCCTAGTAGCGTATGCGTGTGCATGCATGCATGTAATGTATGTGCGTATGTGCGTGCAATGTGTGCGTACATGCGAGCGGTGGATGCGCGTGCGTGCGTGCGGTAATGCGCGTGCATGCGTGCGTGCATGCGTGCGTTCGTACATATGTGCGTGGATGCGTGCGTCTGTCGCTTGCGTGCATACGTCAGCGCGTGCGTGCGTGCGTGCGGTAATGCGTGTGCGTGCGTGCGTGCGTGCGTACATACGTGCGTGGATGCGTGCGTGGATGCGTGCGTCTGTCGCTTGCGTGCATACGTCAGCGCGTGCGTGCAAGCGTAATAAAATAAAGGCCGATTTTAGATGCGGGGTGAAGGACCAGCAAACGCTAGCGTTGTGTTTTCGGCAACAGCTTGTTTATGAGCTACAGTTATAGTATATCTCTAAAATTACCCCTAATAACCACAGGTGCACTGGCCAGATAATTCGAATAATCAACAGTAAACTTTATTGGCCGTTTAGCGGGTCACGCTGAACGAAGGGGGATATCGGTAATAGTTGTGCGCTATTTCACCATGCAGCGAGTCACCAGCCTCTCGGACATTTCCGCAATCAGTGCAAATGACACGAGAAGTGCCTGTAACCTGAGATTGAAACCGGATTTACGGTAATATGCCTGAATTTTAAGTCCACAGAGCGCGCCGACTGTCGGGTTTTCCTGTCAACGGTTAACAGTTACTACATGCCCGCTACCCTGCGGACTGTCGATCCACGCTAGAGGCGCCGACTGTCGGGTTTTCCTGTCAACGGTTAACAGTTACTACATGCCCGCTACCCTGCGGACTGTCGATCCACGCTAGAGGCGCCGTCGTCGCATCTAATTGTCCTTAACACTAATTGTATTGTAGTATATGTAGTATGTGTATTGTAGTATATGTAGTATGTGTATTGTAGTATATGTAGTATATGTATTGTAGTATATGTAGTATGTGTATTGTATAGTATATGTAGTATGTGTATTGTAGTATATGTAGTATATGTATTGTAGTATATGTAGTATGTGTATTGTAGTATATGTAGTATGTGTATTGTAGTATATGTAGTATGTGTATTGTAGTATATGTAGTATGTGTATTGTAGTATATGTAGTATGTGTATTGTAGTATATATAGTATGTGTATTGTAGTATATGTAGTATGTGTATTGTAGTATATGTAGTATGTGTATTGTAGTATAGTATGTGAATTGTAGTATATGTAGTATGTGTATTGTAGTATAGTATGTGAATTGTAGTATATGTAGTATGTGTATTGTAGTATAGTATGTGAATTGTAGTATATGTAGTATGTGTATGTGTATATTGTTAGTTACCAGAAGTATCTGCTGCGTGTACTCACAATTGCCTTGTCAACGGCGTGGTCCTCCAGGTAACCGGCCGGTAGCTTATAGGCTGATAGCGGCAGACCTGTCGCCGGCGCCGTCGCCCCTAACCACAGCACGACGGTCAACGCGACCACGCACAGCGGCCGACGACGACGACGATGACGATGGCTCTGCTGCGACGATGGCGTTACCATGGCGACGTTGCGCGTACGTGCGATTGCGTTGCTATGGAGAAGGCGTGCGCGCTGGCTTCGGTTGCTGTGTCGGCGGTCCGTCGTCGCACCCGTGCATCGAGTCACATCCGTCGGCTCTGCTCCTGACTAACCATCGCGCTATCTGCAGCCTGCCTACTCGCAGGTAGGAACCCCGAACCTACAATAACCACGACCAGCAATCGCTCTGTGTGTATTATGTATATAGATATATAGATGTAACGGTCGCTCGCATGCGCTCGTTGTGTTCGTACCCCGCGGTGACGAAACGTCCGCGTTTACCTCCCCCAAATAAAGTAGTCGACGATTCGAACTATAGTGCGCATGCGCGAGCACCAAGACACGAGCGATGGCTACGTACGTGCGACACAGAAGCGAGCGAGCGAGAAGAAACGTGGCAGCGTGCACGTAGTATATCACCCACTACGCGCGCGAGCGAAGGACGGACGAGCCGGTGCGAAGAGAGGCGAGCGGCCGTGTGTGGCGGCGGGGTTTCTGCTGGCGTATTTCCACTTTCCGCTAGCGTGCGTGCGGTGTTGGTGTGTTTCGGCTCAGTGCTCGCGCTGTCTGCAGTGCATCGCTCCAGTTTCGGCGCAAATCCGGCGCAAAAAGCGAATGTGCTGCTGGTCAATGGGCCACCCGGCCTCGGGTCATGCGCATACATAGCATATATATAGCATATATGCGCATATATATGCGCATAATAGACGAGTGTAGGTGTAAGGCCACACCCAGTGCAGCCAGGAAGAGGAGCGAATGACCTCTTATTATAATATATTATTATTATAAGGAGAGTTCAAAAATAGAGTGCGGCTAGGAGCGTGAAGGTGGGCAGTGTGTCATGGTGACGTACATGGTAACGGGATCTCGCGAGATGATAACGGGAAATCAATCAATTTCAATATCGATGATGAGATACCTATTTCATCATGAGGACAGTATGGAAAGCGACAGTCTGCATGTGGTTCTTCGAGAGAAAATTCCAGTCAAACACAAGGTTGATTAACCATTATGTAACGTTTTTTTTTTAATATCACAGTATTATAACAGCCACACGGACAACGAAAGCATGCCCCATGTGGGGGCATAAATATATTATTTATTATAATAAATAAATAAATTAATGGATTTGTATAGAAATATGACTGAGATTTCATATCGGATGCGATCTAAATAAATTCGCGACGTGGTGTGAATACATGGCCGTTATATAAAGCGTAACAATTATAACCATTATGTAATGATCTGTTTTTAAAATCGCTGTGGCAACGGGTACGGCAGCCGTATCTTAATGTCTCAAGGCTGGAGGTACGGTAGTCCATTCGCTTTCATACTTAACAAGACAAAAATGGCGGCGGGTGGCGCCAGATTTCGAAATAACGTCTTGGGAAATAAATTCACGATTTGAGAGTTTAGATGAGCTAGAACCCTAACCTTAACCCTAACCCTAACGCCAAAAAGAGGCTTCAACGAACGACGGCAAAAATCACAGTAATATAACAGTCACACGGCTAACAAAAGCCGAATGGGACATAAATCACCGAATGAATTCACCGCATAAATAAATAAATAGATACATAAATTAATTAATTAATATATTATTATAGAAATATAACTTGAGTTTCATATCGGGTGTGATCAAAATAAATTCGCGACATGGTATGAGTGCACTGCCATCATAAAGCGTAACAACAATAATTATATATACCAATACAGACAGACAAGCCCCATTTTTTCATTTCTAATGTCAGGCACTCGACTCACTCTATAGCGCCACATAAGCGTATCCACTTGAGTTGTTCTGTTTCACTGTCAAACATGGCAAACTGGGACAAACGTGTATACGTGCTGGTTACGTGGATTAGGATAACACGTGATCACGTTAGTGTAATCGTAATCGTAAGATTGATAATGATGGCAAAATGACTTGTAAAAACTCTCACCAAAGCTAAAGTCAATATAGAGGGTTCCGCGACTTGCACTAAAAATAGCAATATTTTCTACAATCCCGTGCCGCCGGCCATACTGGTTCCCAGAAGTGCGAACACATGTTACCGATATGCGAAATCTACCGATTTTACATCGATATATTGTACATACGATAGTGTTATTATAGTAATCTATATTAGCAGTAAGTGGATCCCGGTTTTGCAGACAGGTTTACCAGCGCGTGTTGGGGTGCTAGAGTTCGATATGATTTCGCAGACCCGGTTTTACAGGGTGTTGCAGGCAGGTTTATCAGCAGGTTGGGGTGCTAGTCTGCTAGAGTTCAATGAGATTACACAGGTCCGGTTTTGCAGGGCTTTGCATGCAGGTTTATTAGCGTGGGTTGGGATGCTAGAGTTCGATGAGGTTGTCGCACAGTCGGCTAGATTGAGCAGATCGGGAGATTGCACGCAACACATATCATGGACTTGAGTTTGCTTACATCGCGAGTGTTCAGAAATTTCACCGATTTTACTGCATATTGATATAGCTATCAAACGCAGCTTTTTATAATATCCTGCCGGTGTATGCACATTTGCCAACTGTCTGAAGTGTACGTAGTATGGACGAGTACTTTGATTCACTAGACAACGTAGCCAAAGCACGCTATCTTGAGAAAATTGCGTGCATTGGGAATCGACACCCGTACGAGAATGGAGCGAGGACCACAACTTGTACCATTCACGTACTTATTAGGATCTTGTGAATTGACTACCTAACATTCTAGCCAAGTCCATTTTATACTCTCAATTGGACTTTCAGAACCACAAAAGCCTGGATGCCTACGATCGACTGTTCTGCGGTTGGGTTAGTGGTGTATCAGTCTACATCTATCATGTGAACAGTGAGAGTCCCATCTACGTTATCCGAGCACGTGTTATGCACTCCCAGTCTCTGATTATACCATCTCTCTATCGGTGCATGGGTCACGATGAGAGAATAGCCTCGTTCACACGAGACCTCGTATTTATGAAATACGGTATTTGCGAAATACCGAATCTGAGACCAATACGCGGCCGAGCGTTCACACGCTGATTCGCGGCTACAGAAATACGGTATTTGCGAGCTGCGAGCTGCTTTAGTAACAATCAAGCGAACAATGCGAAATAAACAATGCAATGCGCACCAACTGCCGTTAAAATACGTAGACTGGTCCGCGCTCGACAGTTCCACTCGCGTTACACTGGAACTGTCGAGCGCGGACCAGTCTCTAAAATACGCGGCTTCAGAAATACGGTATTTAGCGTTCACACGAGGAAATGCGCGGTCCAAGAGATCCGGTATTTCTCAAGCACGGCAAATTATTCGGGGTCTGGGAAGCCGCGTATTTACATCAAATACCGGATCTGTTTATGGTCCAGTCACACATACGCGACGCACGGCCCGCGCGCGAATTTTTTTTCCCCAAACGGTATAACATAGCGAAGAATTTAGCGCCTTCTGATTGGCTGCTTCGATTTGCTTTGCCTTTGACAAGAGAACAAACGCCCATTTGTAAATGTTTGTTTGGGTTTATGACCGCTAGATAAGTACGTTTTCTGATGTATTTTCCATGAAAAACATATCTTCTCCTCATTAATATAACATATAATATCACTATAATTGCAATTCTTTCTGCAAATGTGTTATTTTCATCTCAATCTTAAGTTATGAGAGGGTCTGGGCTCTCGTAATATTACATACGTACGTATGTACACGCACTCGTAGTGGATCGTCGCAGGATCGAGGAAGGAGCGAAGGGCTACGACAGTACGTACTACTAGAGCTACGACGGTACTAGAGCTATACGTACTCGTCGTACTCGTTGACGCTAGTAGTAGTATTACTAGTACGTTAGTAGTCGTAGTAGTAGCCTAGTGTTTAACCCTGAGGTCAGCTGAAACGTAATTAAACTAATCGGACCACGGCACGAACATAAACAGAAATTCGGCAGCTATAACTATAAGTATAAGCCTAGACCCTCTCATAACTTAAGATTAAGATGAAAATAACACATTTGCACACAGCTAGAATTGCAATTATAGTAATATTATATGTTATAATAATGAGTAAAATATGTGTCTTTCATGGAAAATACATCAGAAAACCTATACTTATCTAGCGGTCATAAACCCAAACAAACATTTACAAATGGG